GCAGGGCCCGGCCCGGCCGTCCTCAGGGAGCGGGAGCAGGCACAGGCACAGTGCCCGGCGGGCACAAGCACAGGGGAGCCACAGGGTCCTGCACCACAGCCTAAAACTGGAAAGGAGAGAAGACAAGCAGTTGTCAGTTCTTGTCTGAGGTGCTCCACTGGCCCCAACTATCCTCCTGGCACCGGGGAGGGAGGCTGAGGGTGGTCACTGCTCACAGAGATCCGTACTCAGAATCTCCTGCTGCATCCCCCAAAGCCGTCCCCTAGGGCTATTGCTGCCTCTGGGCATGCTCGGGGGGGCTCAAAAGCTGGTACTTCATGAGCAAAGGGGGTATAAGCACTCTCAGCACCCTCCCCTGCCTGTCCAGAGCAGGCTCCTTAGGCAGAATGTCACCACTGTCCTCACTGATGGGACAGGAGAGCTCTGGGCACAAGGGCCACACTGCTTTGAGCCCCACACCCCACTCCCCGAATCAGGGACCACCTCCTCCTGTGTCAGAGCCTCACATTCTTGAGGAACTCCTCTGCCACGATGCGGGCCCTGGCATTGACAGAAAGCTTCATCTCACTGATTTCCTTGTCAATCTCCTCCATGAAGTGGATGACAAAGTCCACCAGCTTGTGCTTGTACATCTGCTCCGTGTGGAAGTTTGTGATTAAAAAGCTGATGTCATAGCCCTGGGCAAGAGAGAAACACCATAGTAATGAGCACTCAGGCCACTGACCGTGCAACCTCACATCCCAGTTCTGCACTGGAGACCCTCCCAGTGCCAAGAGGGGAGCCAGGAGCTGCTCCGCCCCCTCCCTGTCACCTCACCTCCACGGGCTTCCTGCGTAGGATGAAGAAGTTCTCTGCCCTCATCATCATGAAGCGCATGAATTTGTGGCACAAGATCTTCTCAATCTCATCGGCCTGAAGGGAAAAAAAGGGAAGTGAGGCTTCCCCAGGGACGTCAGCTGCCAGCCCACCGCCCACAGCACAACCTCACCTGCTTCACCGCAATGCTTCCAGGTGGGGCCTCCCAGGAGCAGAGCAGAGGGGGAGAATCCCCTCCCTCACCTGCTGATGATCACTGGCTGCAACAGCAGCTCTTTGCTGCTCCTGCGTGCAGAGGAAGGGCCGCAGTGACTCAGGAGGAAGCATTTACTGGTGAGAAACTGGGATGTGGAGCACAGGCAGGGAGCCGCAGGATCACGGGATGTGGGGGCTTTGCCACAGGATGCTTCCTGCCTCCCGCAGCCGTCCCTCCCCGGGGCAGGTCCTCCCTCGGGCCCCAGACAGATCGCCCTTCTCCTCTCGCAGCAACCTGCGGCACCAGCCCCGCGCCCGC